AGAAAAAAGCTCACAAAAAAAAAAAAAAAAAAAAAAAAAAAAAAGAGAGAGAGAGAAAACACACACACACACACACACACACACACACACACACACACACACACACACTTAGTTCTACAAGAGCAGTCAAAAGAGGAAAAAAAATCCCTCCCTCTTATGCTGTCATTTAACCCTCTACCATTGCCAAGGCCAGCCCACAGAAAGAGAGGCTCAAATGACAACGAGCACTAGATTCCACGCAAGGAAGAAAAGCCAGAGTCAATGCCTCAAGACAAAGATAAAGCCCAGAGAGTCAAGCAAGCCACATCTGATCGAGCTGAACTAGGGCTTTACAGATGCCTCTCCAAAAACTTAGAGGACCCATCTATTATGACATGGAAGGCAAAATTCAAGGGGGACAACACACCTTGGTCTACCAGCCCTTCTCAACCACTGATCTCCTAAATTAGAAACTCATACACTCTCCTGTACAAAAAAGCCCCAAGCCCTCACAGATTTGATACAATTCATTTTCCAGACACATAATCCAACGTGACCTGATTACAAATGGTTCCTCCTGACACTGTTAAACACCACACCCACTGCTGCTAGTGTTACAGCTGTTCATGTGTCTTAGATGTACCACAGTCAGCTAAAGCCAACAGCCCAATACAAATGGACCAGCCAGCAAGAACTAGACCATCAGAACCATCTGATCCTGCAACAAAATCAGGCCACCACCAAAGACAACAGCCCTGCTCTAGCCCTCCAGAAGCAGACTAGTCTACACACAGCAAAAGCCTGAGGGAACACCGGCCTTGCTCTAGTCAGTCTGGAAGTTGACCAGTGCACATGGCCAAAGCTTGAGGATTAACATAAATTGTAACTTTCCCTTGCCTCTTACCCCTACTTGTCAAAAACACTCGGTTGGCCACAAACACTCTGATAGACAGACATGCCACCACTCGACTGATGGCCGTCACCAAGTACCAACCTCTGCTCAGTAGATTGAGCTGAGCATCCCTTTGTAACCAAAAAACTGATAATAATAAAGATGATGCTCTGTAGTAAAACTTATTATAGAAGGCATCAAAGGGGGGAATAAAGCAGAACTTAGAAGAAAATCAGTTCTCCTAGCTAAAAGCAGTTGAGCAGCTCTCCACTCAGGTTCCACCCCATTTCCTGTAACTTCTGACCTCCCCTTGGTACTGATAAGGTAGCCACTCATATTTCTATAAACGAAGTTTATAACACTCTGTTCCCACTTGATCAATAACACACTGTCTTCTTACAAGGTTAAATTACTAAACTGTCTGCCCTTGTCCTGTTCTGGTAAACTTACTGCATCACTACAAAATCCACCTCCCTTTTTGACTAAATGTATAAAAAGTAGAACTTTCCTTGGTTTAACCAGCCACCACTTTGAACACGAGTTCAGTTTGGCCAGGTGAACACTAATAAATCCTCCTTATTCCCATTAGAATTCTGCTACACAGGGAGGCACTTGGTATCATCAAGCACAGGCCTCGTCCTCCCGGGATGTAAGGACCCAGGGTATGTCGCACACACTGAGCTGACTGCCCCAGTCCTTCTCCCCATGTTCACCCCATGTTCTTTTCCCTGTGACCTGCTCTTGCTATGTTGCGGAGGCAGAGGGACAGTGTGCTATCAGAGTCACTGCCTCTGGGGCTCTTTACTCCAACAAGGACATCTCCAAGCCAGCCTGAGGGTCCCATGTTGAGGACAACAAGTATATGGATAAAAATGACCAGCCCTGAGTAGAACACAGTTAGCAGCCCACAATATGTGGGCAGAGGACAAGTGTCCCATCTTCAGGCCCTTTTGTGCACAGGGACCAGTATTTAGCGAATGAGGCCCTGAAAAGAAACACATGTATGTGTCTCATGGAACATGGCTGCTGAAAGGCCATCCTATGGGGTTGCTCCGTGGCTTTTGTACAACACCAGCCTCTTTCTAGGAACTGGGAACAGTCACCACACAGAGTCCTCTGCTCTCATAGAATTCTCTAACACAGCATGTGAGCAGGAGGCACAGAGAGCCAGGACAGGGAGGCACACGAGTTCCCAAAGCTGCTAAAAGGAAGCATACACTGTGGGAAGAGGCAGCAGGAGGGGATCAGATGCTAGGTGGCACCAAGAAGTGCCATGGCAAGAAGACAATTGGGCCTAAACGTGAAGGGTAAGACAAAACAGGCAGTGACTCTAAGGTGGAAGTTCCAGCAAGACTAGGCTATACTATCCCTAGTGGGGTGCAGCCTGTAGTTTGAGGGCACTACCCAAGCCCTGTGGGCTTTGAGCACAGGCAGCAGATAAGCAGCTTGACTTTTAAAGGGCCCTCTGCCCACTGGGTCAAGAACAAAATGGCAGCATGGAGAACGGGAGCAGACAGAGGCAGTGAGGGACCAGTATAAGATTCAGGGCTAGCAGAGAAAAGCAGTGAGAGGCCAGTGCTAGATTCAGAAGACAGACTCGGTGGCCAGAGCGGGGGTGCAGACTGGGAAGTCTGAGAAAAATCCAGAAGCTGGATACAGTGCGAAGGCAGAGCAGAGAGAATTCACCTGTGAACTGGATGTGGGTGTGAGGGGACAATGGTTCTGTCCTGTCCAGGAAAGACAGAGCCATGGTGTGCCCATGGGAAAGCAGAAAGAGGAGAGAGTGTGTGAGGGCAAAGATCAGTACTGGAAGCTTGCCATGCTCTTAGGCTTCACGGGAAATGTCCAGAGCCCCACAGGGGTAGAATCAGGACTGGCTGTACAGTATGTAAACACTGTCACTACCCAGTGGTCCATGTAAAATCATCAAGGGTGGATTTTGACAGGAAAGAGGAAAGCTCATACTCAAGGCTGGAGAACAAGGAAGCCACCAAGGGAACCAGGAGGAAGAAGCCGCCAGGCTCAGAGGGCTGGTAACTGACCAGTCGAGGTAAGCTGTCCACGTCAAGCCCAAATGAAGGAATACTGTGGATTTATCAGTCGTCCACCAACATGCAACCAGAGAGCTGCCCTTGGGCTCTGGGACTCTAGATCTCCAGCCACATATCCAAGGTTTCAGTTTCTGTTCCAGCCACTATGACCACACACAGTGGCTTGTGGCTTTTGAAGGCCGCTTTCCTAGAACCCAGAGTGCAGGTTGGAGGGAGGGGCTGCCTTCCAGAGTGATCTAGGGCAGCAACTCAGGGCTGACTCTGCCTGTCTCTGCATTAAATAAGTACATACATGTGTCCCTGCTCACCCGAAGAGGCATGGGAGTGGTCATGTACAAAGCAGATGAAGGTATGACTATTACAGTTTTGTGATTACTCCAAATTTTCAGTGTAACCCTATATGCCACACTCAAATCTCTAGACATGGTCCCACCTAACCAATTAGTCTCATCTAGCAAAATTGCCTTAACCAGCCTCACTCCACCCACAGAGCCACCTTCCAGCAGAGGGCTACATGTACCTTGAGTGTTCTCCTAATCACACCTTTCTTATAATTACCCTCTTTTTCATGTGTGTTTCCAGGAGATATGAGCTCACAAAAGGAGTTCAATCATCATTTCTTTTGATTACCTATGTTTTGTCTTTTGTCCCTGATAGGCTTTTGTCTCTAATTTGCCACACTAGAGAAGACTCCTTGCTTGTTTGGGTTCAGCAATATGCTCAGGATGTAAAATGTGATGCATGTTGGGTATGGGGGCTACTCCCCACTTCCCACACATCAGGACCGCCATAATGGGTCTCTCCACTTCAGGGCCATGACTGGAATAAATTACAGGGCTATATCTGTGTGGAGCAAAAACAGATTGTGATAGTACATATACCACTCATTCAGATAGATGCATACCAATTGCCCAGCAATTCGACCCTGGACCACAAGAGACAGGGAAAAATACTTTTCAAAGAATGAAACTGATGCCATCATTTGAAGAGATGCTAGGCCTCCCTTTTCAAAAGGACCATTCCTTTCTATGGTCAGAAATAATAATCTACTACTCAATGATGGATATTTTTGAATACAGGATGACTATGTAAGGCTCACTCTCACTACAGGATGCCATACTCAGATGGCTCCTCTTTGCTGGGAACAACACAAATCACTATGCTTTGCCCGGTGCTGCCAAATATTTGGGCTGGACTCCACCTGAGTAATGTCAACATCCAAGTGAAAGACTGCTTCATTACTGATTGGTTTTCAAGGCCTAGAAGGTGTCAAGCTGCCCCTATGGCATCCCGTGGCAGCAATCTATGGTCCTGGCTGCCCCCTGGCTGGACTGGTTGCTGCACATGGGCTCTCCCTATACACAGCAGTGATGGAGGAATATTCTTTATCTCCCTGTGTTACAGCACAGATGGACTCACTGTACGTTTCACTGGTTTGATCATCTGCCCTCTCATTTTTATTTCCTCTGTGGGGAATTGGAGGATGTTATATAGAGCCCTTGACTTGCTTGATATTCTTAGAAAGCCGTGAATGATGCTACCTAGGGAATCAACTTATGAGAAAGGAAATATTACAAAATCAAATGGCAGACAAGGTTCAGAGCCTGTACAAAGTCCAAAGCATGGGGGAGGAGTCAGAAAAACCTTAAGGTCTCAAAACAAACTAAAGAAAGACATCCACCTATTTCTCTCTAAAGCAGGTCAACACAGCCCATTTTATTTGTACAAGAAGAATTACCTCAGAGGAAGGAAAGGATACTTCTTAAAAGACCCAGGTAATCATAAAAATGTAAACTGAGACCTCATTCAGTACAACTACCATCTTGGCACTTGCTTTGTGCTTAACACTCACCTTTATGCTAGAAGGTGTGTTTTCTCTCCCTCTTGCTCTATTATTTTGCAATAAACTCTACCTATATATGATGGCCTATGTGTGTTGTCTGAAATCATTTGTCAAGGATACAAGGAATCAAGGTGTGTTGCAGCTCCCTGGGAGTTAGGGTCCCGCTGTGTTGCAACACAGCTTCCCAGTAACAGTAAGATGCTCCTGCTCTGTGCTCCCCATCTCACCCCGAGTTCACTCTCCCACACTTTATAACCCTGGAGTTCCCTGGGTGCACACTTTGCCTGCCTCACACTCTGTGCAGGCTCTTGCTACAGCCTCTCCTCCCAGAACTATGACTCTCCAGCCCAGCACATAGTAGAGGTCCCAAGACACCCATGTGTCAGAAACACTCCAGCCTGCTGCACATCTTCGAATCACCATGAAATAATTTTAAATGGGGAAGTTCAGAAGAATGAACTCCCTGAGGCTATCTCAGCATGTACCGCAGCAAAAGTCAGAAAAGCCAATGGAAGGCTAAAGAGGAAACCCACAGCCCTGATGACAAGTTTACAGGTGTGTCATTCCTTCTGAATACTTTTTAAAATTACTTGTACCTTTTTACTTACCTTGAAGTACCTTCTCCCTGCACCCATCCAGGTTCCATATCATAACAACATCCTGTGATGCCGAACAGATGAGCAGTGGGGTCTCTAGATTTCCAAAAGTGATAGCAGTGATTGACTGCAGGTGACCTTGTAAGATCAGAAGCTGAAAAAAAATCAGAAACAAAACTATCTAAGTTACATATAGTATCTAAAACTGAAAGAACAAAAATATAACTTCAACCTAGGAAATTAAATATTAAAGTTATCAAATATATGTTTCATGCACCCATTTTGAATTCCATTAAAATTTTGGCTTATATACTCCAGAAAGATCCTCTCAGGCTAGACACACTACTGTCACTAGCATTGCTCAGTGACCATGATGCACCTGGCATTGTTCCTCCCTTCTCTGGAATTTGTTGATGGACAAATGCATGAGGAGCCCTCACTGGACACAGAAGGGGGACCAGCTGAGTGGACTGCTACAGAGGAATCAGCAAAGCCAGGAGGAGACACCCAGGCTGGAGGCCCTGCGGGCTCCTGCAGGGAGCCAGATGATGCTGGAGGCAGGTGCCACAAGGTCTAATGCTGATACTTATGTGGAAAATTGAGGAGCACCTAACTGTTCCTGCCTTAGTAAATGTGTGCGATGTTTTCCTGTTGCTTCAATGTCTTGCACTGAGGGGTTTTTCACACACCCCCCAAAAAATGCATGGCAATAATGACATAAAGGATGTGGGGGGAAAGTGAAGTATGCAGCATGCTAATACTACTGAGAACAGGAAGTAGCCAAGGAAAATGTCAGTGCAAGGAATACAGCCAAGGATAGAGAAGTCACTTAGAACAAATGGACTCATTGAATTGAGAAAATATAAAAAGTACTAATTACATAGATACTCCACAACAGTTTCAGAATACAATGAACAAAATCTAGAAGAGAGAAACAGACAAATTCACAGAGTTACAGATTTAAATACACCTCTCTTAGTAATTGATAGAATAACTGGACATAAAATCAACACAAATACAGGAAATTTGAGGAAAACTGCTAGCCAGTATGAACTGACATTTATAGAGCAAAAGACATAAACATTTAAAAAAATTCATATCATTTGGTTTGTAATAGCCCCAAACTAAAAATGACCTAAATGTCCACCAACAGGAAAAAGAATAAACAAGGTACAATATATCACATAATGGGATGCCCCTCAATAGTACAACAAAAGAAGAAAGAAAAGAGAAAAAGAAGGATATGCTCATAAATGCAACAATGTGGATGCATCTCAAAATAATTATTTTGAAACTGCAAACTAATCTAAAGTGACAGAAAGCCGTTTTATTTGTAACATACAAAGAACTTATTCAAACCAACAGGAGAAGTAGAGATGTTCCAGTAGGAAAGTGGCAAGACACTCCAGCACCACACACACACACACACACACACACACACACACACACACACAGCTCACACATATATGACAAAAGCAAATATCTAAATGTCCAGTCGGTGTGCAAAAGAGTGGCGAACCTCACTCATTGCCAAGCTTTCAGGAAATGCAAATTATAATCAGGTAGCATGACATCCACCTGCCCCCACCAGGACCGAAATGAAAAGGCTCAGCACCTGCAGGGCTGTGAGGCATGGAGCTCTCACATACCATTACAGCGCCCAACTGGTACCAACACTGGCAAACCCGCTTGGCACTGTCTAAGTGAACACACCCTGAAACTCAGCAACAGCACAAGTGCATACACCATCAGACATGTAAAGGAAATAAGGCAAGTGTCTAGCTACATTAGAATGAGCATACTGTGATCTATTCCAACAGTGTACTATGAAGCAGTGAAAAGGAAGTGATATGAGCCTTGTAAACACAATGCTGAATGTAAGAGACTCTGGCTGGAAAAGTGCAAGGTGCACAGCTCAACACGAGTAAGCTGACCTCTGTTTCTGGAAGTCAAGATGGATCTGCCTTGGTTGGGAGGTGGGGTAGGAGGTGAGGCCTGAGCAGGTTACCAGGTGTGTGCTTCCTACAGAAGGCTTTTCTCTTAAGTATTGTGTGTTTCACTGCAGAGAAAGATCAAGCTGGTGATGTGAATGAGGGAGTCTTAATTGTGTTATGGCAAAATTTTTCTTCCTCATGTTTGTACCAAAGGCATTTTTAAATAAAGAAATTCCAGGTAGTTTATTTTCTAAAAAGAAGAAATTAATGTAATGGTTTTATCAATACTTTTTTTCTCCCATGGTTGGTGGCTGAATGGCTCCCATGGTTGGTTGGTGAACAGAAGAAAATGTTGCCCAAACAGCATCACAGAAACGCAGGCACAGGGTGAGGTCTTCATGACCTTAGACTTAAGAAACACTCACAAATTGTCAACTACCTCGTGTGAAGGACCCCTACAGCCCCACAGGCAAAGCTGATTTCCATCTAAAGGGAAGGCACAGAACTCTGCACTGCAAGCCAGCTGCACATGAGAAGCACACTCCTTGGAGCCAGCCAGGTATTCTTCTGTTACTATATCACTCTCTCTGCCACCAGTACAGGAAATCTCATGGGGTTCTTCCATCTTCAACCTGAAAACACAAAGTACACATAAGATGACTATAGGGGTTATATTTTATGTAGGTAAATATCCATTATTTATATCCACTTCCATCATGGATTCAGTCCCAGGCTGCTCACCCTACAAGCCTTGTATGGCCTGGTCCATCCTCTCACTGTGCAGCAAGACCCCAAACTCATAGGCGAGGCCTGCGTGAGGTCTACTGAATGTGATGGATACAGCATTCAAAATCATGGCTTCTGGTGCCAACTACTATACCAAAGCTATCTTCCATCTGACCACAGCAGGGCAGTTTGTGGTAAGCTGAAAAGTAGTCCAGCTCTCTTACAGCCAGCCTGGCATATACTCAAGTATTTTATGGCATTTTCTGCCACTCAGTTAGGTTACCCTGGGTATTATAACCAGTGATTCACTGGCTATATCTTCACAAAGCATAAATAAAACACTGAAATGATTCAGAATGATTCAGACTTTCCCCCCTTTACTCTTAGTACTTTCATAAACACAGTAATTTGAGGCACATGGACACTGAATTGGAAGTCATTTCCCCAACCTTCTGCAGGACAGAAGAAATTAAGACATGACAAGTTTCCAAGCTGAATTTAGGCTGCAAGCCACATGGGACCCTTCCTAGAGTCAGCTTTTCCTAAAGTTCATACTCACTTCACACTCAACAGCATTAGTTGAAGAAACTGGGCCGTAGTCACTGAAGGGTGGGAAGAGACCATGAGGAGCCTTGGTGATATAGGCTCTGCCCTGTGCCTGAACTGTCAGGAAAGCTTCTCCATATTGAGCAGTTTTGGATCTGTGTGTACTACAGAATGGCATGAATGCCTCAGTGAAAAGACACAAGTCTGTTTTCCTCCTGGATGACAATCTGCACACTGGATATATGCTGTCATCCAAGGCAAGAACTCAGTGTGTGAACAAGGTCAAGGGCAATGTATGCCGTAGCAAAAGCCTGCAGCTCTTTCTTATATGAATTTTAGTACTTTCATTATTTGTGAGGGAAACATAATTGAAAAGGAGCTCATTTGGTTTTTCTGTTAGCAAATTAAACTAAATATAAATTTCCCAGATACTAATTTTTTCACTGATTTGGTTTTTCTGGAACTGGCCACCTTGTAGGAATAATCTGGTTTTCAAAAAAAAAAAAATACACAGGGAGCACTTCAAAGATTGGTCCCAAATATCTTCAGGTGTCCATGAAAAGGCCATCAGGATTCAGCCTTCCAGCAAGATAAGAACAAGGTGGTGTCTTCGTTACCTTTTCATTGGTGGGACAAAATACCCAATATCCACAAGTTAAATGAGGAAAGTTTATTTTGGTTTATTGTGGAGGTTTCAGTCAATTAGTCCAAAGCAGGGCACCATGGAAGATGAGAAACAGCCCATGGCATGGGAGGCAGGAAGAAGCAACCTTCCTTCTTCTTTTTTCTTTTATTCCATTCAGGCTATAACACTATTGGTCGGTGCCACTCACACCCAGGATGGCTTTCCCTCATCAGTAAGTCTATTACCACACCTAGAACTATGCTAAACCAATCAACAGACTATTACAGTAACACTCCATGATCCAGTATCACATGCCCATAACCCAATCACTCTGAAAATCCCTACCTATGTATGTGTGAGGCTTTGGGAAGACATCTAGAGATAAGGCATAACAGGCGGTTACCTTTAGTTCCACCTAATTGCAGTTACTGGCCACCCGGAAAACAAGTGTGTTAAAGAAAAAAAAAGAAAAAAAAAAAAAAAAAAAAACAGGCTTGAGGAGGAGACAAGGAAGGATGGAGGCATCAGTCTCTCAGCTAAGGAGATACAAACTGTCCAGAGCCAACTATGCTCTCAAAATCCAAAGAAATGCAGCGCAGAGAGTAAAGATGCACTGACAGCTCTCCACAGACCAGTTCTAGCCTGATCCCATGTCTCCAGGAAGTGGGCTACAACAGCAAATAGGACATGTCTTCATTGACTATATCAGATGGGCCTGTGGCAGGAAAACAGCCAAGGTTAAACCAAGGGTTCAGAAAATAATGGTCAGAGACAAAACCTGGATTCAACTGGGAAAGCTCTCCCAGCTCTACCCAAAGGATTTCAGAGCTACTATGGACCAAGCCTCTACAGCAATCCTCTTTCTGAAAGAGAACTTGTTGCAATAACATTGGTCACACCTGGCAAAGAAAGCCAGCAGTCTGTCTTCTTAGCTTCCAGGTCTTGGGACCATGAGGAACCACACCTAGGTCCAGTAGAGAACTGTGTAATGAGGGGAGATGCACCCATCAGGCTGGGCACCCTAGTCAGGTGTGTCCCTCTGACAAGGTGTGTTTATATGACCACCAGAAGGGAGGCTGCTCATTTTCTACCAAACATCCCCCTTTTGGGGGGCACACAGAACTAACCCAAATAACCAGCTTCTCTTGCAATTAGATGGCACCACCTGACTGAGTTCAGGCCAGGGCAACAAGGAGAGGTAACAAGAGGGCGTAAGTGATGCACACACAAGCCTGATCCATAAAACTCTTCCATCTAATACTCCTCTCTTTATCCAACCACTAACTAAATAGATTCTGGAGGGCCCAAGGGAGATGGACAATGGATGAAAGAGGTTTGAGTTACTTAGGGTTCTCTAGAAAAGAAGGAATTAAAATATATATATATAATTATGCAAGGGGATTAGGTGGGCTCACATCACAATGGCCATCTGCATGCTGGAGAACCAGAGGATCTGGTAGCTGCTAAGCTATGAAGACATAGGCTGCAGAACAAGAGGGATTAAAGATTCAGCAGCAGTCCAAGGTCAAATGTCTGGAAGCTGACTGAAGGGGCACAGATGTGAGTCTGTATTGGAAGGCTGGAGAAACCAGAGACTTGGAGACACATGTCCAAAGGCAAAGTCAGGAAAGGGCGCATACACTCAGAAAGACTGGAGCTCTTCAAAACAGACACACTTCCTTCTTCTTTCCTCTTTGATATTCAATCTCCACTGGGGTGGGTCTTGCGTCCTCAGTTTGCTGGCCTACATGTCAATCACCTATGGACACACCCAAATTGTGCTTTACTTATTTGCTAGATGTTTCTCATTCCAGTGACACTGACACATCACAATTAATGGTGAGGAGATCTATGAGTCACAGCTTTCAGAGAGCTGCCTAAGAGAAAGATCTGACTGGAACAGCCACAAAGGACCCTGTGACTAAAGTATATACTACTATTCTGTTCTGGTTATTTGATACCATTTACACAACCTTTACCAATATAAGTGGTTTGACCTTTTTCTTTTTTCAATTACAAAAGCAATGTAGAGTAAAACATTTAAACAATGCCGACACAGTGAATTTGAATTTTCCATCCCTGTTTCCTCTCCCTGCTCTACTTTCCACAGGGATAATCCAAGTAACAAGACTTCTCCACAGACATCCTCTGAATGCACATGCATAGGAACAAGTCTTATTTTTCAGGAAACTACAGTTTATTTGAGACTGGATGTGTTAGTCACTTTCACTTTCTAGGACAAAATACCTCACAGCCACAAATTAAAGGAGATGTTTATTTTGGTTCACAGTTTCAGAGGGTTAAGTCCATGTTCACAAACATCATGGCAGAGGGATATGATGGAAGAAAAGGGTTCTCCTCGTGGCAGCCAGAAGCAGAAACACGGACAAGAATACACTCTTCTACACCCCACTTCCTAATAGCATTTTCAGCTATGAACTCATCAATAAAGTAATCCATTGATGAGTAAAGCATCTCTATGATCCAATCACCTTCCAACAGCCCCATCTGAACCCATGAGACTTTGGGGGGACATTTTAAATCTAAACCATAACCCAGGGAAGCAAGAAAATGCAGTGATAAGTGACACTTAAAGAGATTGTTTTAAAGTTAAACCAGCAAACAAAAGCAGTCATCTCATGAAAACTGGAAACTATATATTTAATAGCTTCTGTCCGATATAGAAAGAGTATATACAAATTATAGAAAATGAAGAAAAGTTATTTTCTATTCAGCAGGCACCAACATTAAAACCTTGTGCATTTCATTGTAGCTTTTTCTATATATACATGTGCATGTTTTTAAAAAATAAAATGCCTTTCTTCTGATTAAAAAAGATCAAACCCTTTCTCTCATAGTGCTAAGCAGGCTAGAAACATGCCATTACATTTGTGAGTTAGGAAAATATAAAAGCATGTTGTACTCCCATAGTTAAACAGCACCAAAATGTACCCATGCAGGTGGGTTGAGGGTAGAGATAGCTCAGTGAAAGAGTGCTTGTATAGCATGTGTGAAGCCCTGGGTTCAATCCCTAGCACTTAAGGAAGAAAAATAAAAAGGTGGCCTTGAAGGTTTACTTAGAGCAAAATAAAGTTCTCCACATTAGCCAGGAGAGAAACAGGCTTCCAATTCTAGCTACTCTAAGAACAGAGCTAAAAACTAAGGATATAACTATAAATTGAATGACAGCTGATAGAGATGTGAGAATGCAACCAAGTTATACCCCGTGTTACTACAGCTTTAAATTATTTCAAAAATTATTAAGTATCTTAAAAGTACCAGTACCCTTGCACTCACCTATAAAGTAACCTCAATACTCTAGGAGGATGAGGCAGAAGGATTACAAATTTGAGCCTAGCCTGGGCAACTTAGTAATTTAAGGAGACCCTCTGATAGAGATGTGAGAATGCAACCAAGTTATACCCCGTGTTACTACAGCTTTAAATTATTTCAAAAATTATTAAGTATCTTAAAAGTACCAGTACCCTTGCACTCACCTATAAAGTAACCTCAATACTCTAGGAGGATGAGGCAGAAGGATTACAAATTTGAGCCTAGCCTGGGCAACTTAGTAATTTAAGGAGACCCTCTCAGATGTTTTGATGTTTTAAAAATTGTACATTATTGTTAACCTGCTGAGGACAGCCTAAATTCACAGACTCCGTTCTTCCCTCTTGTGCCTCGAGGACAGGTTACACAAGGCCCTAGCCTGACTACTTCCCACCCCAAATTCACAAGTTCACCCCAAACTGACGTTCTGAGGTGGGCCTTTGGGAAGTGACTGTGCCATGAAGGTGGATGCCTCCTGGATGGGTTTCATGCCCTTATTAAAGACCCCTCCAAATCCTAATCAATCTTCCGATCGCCTGAGTACAGTGAGAAGACGGCCATCTATCTATGAGCAAGATACTGAGCGTTTGCCAGATGCCAACTGCCTTGATTTGGATTTCCAGCCTCCAGAACTGCAAGAAACAAATGTCTGTTTTCTATGAGGCATCCAGTCTATGGTATATTACAGCACCTGAAGAGACTGACGAAAGAAAAACTCATTTACTATCCCTAACAGTTACGACACTGAAGTTTAGACTTATTTTCTTTCGTAATGACTTAAAGCATATTCAAAAGTAGCCCTATTGTTGTATCCACTGTCGTGTATTCCAACCTAATATACTTTCTCAATAGGGAAATAAAATAAGCAGTTTCTGCTTGGGACTGGTTGCCCATCAACCCAGGACCAGCAGGAGAGACTACAGTGATCCACCAGAGCCACGTCCATCACGTCCAGTCATCAGTGGTGGTCACTCCCTGGAAGCAGAGTCCCCCAATTTCAGTTAAACCAGCCAGCCTGAACTGTAGCACAAGGCTGACCAAGACGGGGTCTTCCCGCAGGAGACTCTATTCAGGCAGCACAAAAGGGCCACAGGGTGATCCCAAGGGTTCGAGTCTATTTCCCCGTCTACACAAAGTGGGCCGGCAGGTCTCCCAACCTGGTTCAAGAGCTGAGCCCCCGGAAATCCCTCCACGCAGGGACTCAGCCACACGGCGCTCCGAAGCACAGAACAAGGCGCGATCAACAGACAAGCGTGGGTTCCTTCCCCGGGAGCGTCTGCAGAGCACCACGTTTTCCACGGGCACAGATACAGGCAGCACACGCTAGAAGAATCTTCCGCTTTCTCACCTATAAACCCTGTGGTCCTCTGAGTCCTGGAGAGACTACCGCGCTACCTTGCCACCAGCTCAAGTCGCGTCGCTATGGTTACCAGAAAGCGAGCTCGCAGCGCCACGCCCCTTCACCATTCTTGTGAGAGTGAGGGGCCTCACTTCCGGAAGAGGGAACCGCCCCCTCACTTCCGGGCGGCCCTGGGCTTCCGTAAACCTTCCCTTCCGGTGCGGCCCCTTTTTTGGCTTTCTCGGGCGAGGCCAGGTCCGGCCTTTGTGCTGTTGGTTCTGCGCTGTGGTGAGTGGCGGTGGCCGCCCTGCTCATCCACCTGCCTCCCTTTCTGCCGCTCCCCAGCTTGCCGTCTCCTCTCCTAGGGTATCTCCTCGCCTGCGCCTTTCCTTGCCGTCCCCTCCCCGCGCCTTTCTCCCCTCCCCCACCTCGTTTTTCCCTCCTCCACTATGCAACCCCTTACCGGGGGCCCCTGAGCGGACGCGTGGGCGCCTGGCTGCGGGTGCCTGGGTGGACTTCCCTGTGGTCCGCCTCTCACCTGTGCGTCCCCGCAGGGACCAGGCGGCTGCCGATGAGCACGCCCCAGCGTTGAGCGCCTGGCGATGGCGACGCCCTGGCGGAGAGCTCTGCTGATGCTCCTGGCTTCCCAGGCCGTGGCCCTAGCCCAGGGTGCGGAGGACGACGACTATGACGTACCAGAAGAGTGGTTCCTCCTGCACGTGGTCCACGGCCAGATCGGGGCCGGGAACTACAGCTACCTGAGGCTCAACCACGAGGGCAGGATCGTCCTGCGGATGCGGAGCCTGAGCGGCGATGCGGACCTGTACGTGTCAGATAGTACCCTTCACCCAAGCTTTGATGACTACAAGCTGCAGTCGGCCACCTGTGGCCAGGACTCCGTGGTCATTCCCGCGCACTTTCAGCGCCCCGTGGGTATAGGCATTTACGGACACCCGTCCCACCAAGAGAGTGACTTCGAGATGAAAGTGTACTATGACCGGACGGTGGACCAGTACCCCCTGGGCAATGCATACTCTTCAGATGGGGCAGACACTGGTCAGAAGCACGCCTATGCTCCAGAGGAGGCATCACAAGAGGAGGAGTCCGTTCTCTGGACTATAGTAATAAGCATTTTGAAACTTGTACTTGAAATTCTTTTCTGATTCTTTGAGCATGCTCTGGAGAGTAATAGTACCCTTAATCAGAGAAAGTGACTGCAGTGTGCTGTGAATCTTGCTACGTTTATCTGATTGAAATTCACTTTGTGGACAAGGGATGGAAAAATAAAGCCATACGGTTTTGTTACCTCAATTACCCCTACCCCCAAAATAGGAAAAAGGAGCAAACAGTATTTCTTTAAAGATCAAAATTCATGTGAAGGCTATGTTCAATAAAATGTTTAAACTACATTCTGATTAGTTTTTCAGGTTTAGTCAAGATTATTATTGCAGTCATAGATTAAAAGGTTGATGGGCCAGGGATTTAGCTCAGTGGTGCCACCGCTAGCGCAAGGTCCTGAGTTTGATACCCAGTACCCAAAAAAAAAAAAAAAGAAGGTTGATAACTTTGTAATTTTACTGCAGACATTCTGAAAGTTCAACCTGTTAAATTGTCAAGGGTTCCTACAATCAGGTCAGAAATGTCATTTATTTACACCTCCTACGGTACAGACTAAAGCCTCAAGCCTGTTACCTAAGTAGGGACAGGGTACCTTCTATCCAAAGAACGTCCTGGCACTAAGGTATTTTTGTTCCTGTGCCAAGTTGACAACTCTGAACCCACCTGCAAAAATCTTATGAAGCCATTTACCATCTCATTTCTGGGTCACATATTAAAATTCTTCAGTTACATAACACTGTTATACTAGTTTTGGTTAGCCAGAAACAACTCAACTTAGGAAAGATTAATGAAAAATAATTGTAACTTCAGGCTAATTAAAATATTTTTGATTAAGTTGCTAAGTATTTCTACTGAATTTTTTAGTTCAAAACTCTATGAGATAAAAATCTTTTGGAAGATTATTTCTCTACCTGGAATTTGTCTCGAGTAAAAGTAAAATAAATCAACTTGCAGATTTTAAGGTCATAGTTAATTTCAAAAATCTTTTATTGGCATAAAAATGAAAATGTAAATAAAGTGGCACCAAATATTCCACTTCGGTGCATATGTAACATTTGGGTCAAAAAAACTACTTTATCCCTCTTTGCTGTTTTTCCCCCTTCTGCCCACTTTCCTGGGTGTTGAGGGGGCTCGCTGACAACAGTCACAAATCCAGCGACCTAGGAGAAAAATTGTTAGTTAATATAGAGTGGAATTTTATTTTTATAGGATTGAATATTAAACTGTGTAAACTCCTTAGCTGTCACTAATGGTAACCCCTGGCAGATATTTGGCAGGAAAAGCACTACTAAGTTCCTTAAATGAAGGAGAAAATGTAAATGTCTAGTAATCAATGCATACAATGCTGTGTAAAACTCAGTGCAGGGTAAGAGGATTCGATGCTATATATACCAGAGTAAGGATCTTTAAAAAATTATTGTAAACCTCCTTAAAATTCAAACACTATACTACTTAAAGATAAGCTCAATAACATAGATCCTAACAAAATATGTTACTGAATTTGGCTTTTTTCAGCCTTTTGGTCAGCTCTGTAGCAGCCATCTCTCAAGCTGGTATACTGTGCTGATAAAGCTTTTTAAAACTTCATAAGCTATATTACATACTGGATACAAATTATTACAGAACTGAGTAAGTTGCTTGCTTCTACATGAGTCCCAGGAAACTTAGTTCTAAGCATATATTTTATTAGTGTTAACTATATAAAGTGTTAACTATGCAAGTAAGTTAAAAAATTACACAATTATCTGTGTAGTAATTACTGTGATTTATTCTTTGATTCTATGTTCATTCTAAAGTTACCTGGAATTGTCATGCTGCCTCAGTTTATGGAAATTTGTTCTAATATGTATAAAGTTATAGTGGTCACTTTTCGTTTCTAAACAGATGACTAATAAAAATAAAATCAAACTTTTGAAACAAACTGATGCTGCTACTCTGTTTCAGTAGAAAACACCAGTTCACTCTATACATTGAACTATATTTCAAAACTCTGCCTGGCCAGTCTGACATCTCATCTGTCCATTAGCTGCACTGTCTAGGGATGAAAAGCAGTAGACATGACCTGGTGGTCGCAGCTTCAGTCATGTTTGAACAGAAGGGTCTACAGGCCATGTCTTCATGTCATTATAGTGCTTATGCAGCCTTAAAAAGAGAAATGCTGGGAGAGTCTTATTACTTAAGACAGTGTGCTTTTTTAAATCTTTACCTGATGGAATAGCACCAAGGCCAACACAAAAAGTATGATAACCTCTGTCACACACATCACAGAACATCATTTCTTCTTCATGGTGGGGTTGTCCACATATAATGCATGTCTTACATTCCATACACTGCCATGGGTAGGTCTTAATCATAGAAACAAGCTCCATGCTCATATCCAGGCAAGAAGGATGGCCTAAATCAAAACCAACAGTAGCATTTCATAAAAGAATTTTCAACTTAATATGGCATAATAAAATACAAAATTTGCTTTTGGACTTCCCAGAAATGGCTATAATTACCACCAAAGACATGAAAATACTCTGTAGAAGAAAATACATGGACTTTGTCTCTGCCTTAAAAGTCATCCTGTATATCTGATGTCCTTTGGAAGTCTAGCTGACAACTATAAATTCTAGTTTCTGAAGCAACAAATAGGGTATGGTTAAAAATCTTAAGAAGACATCTCCATACTTACCACTGTTATCACACTGGGAGCAGTGTATAAGTGATTCAGCCTTTCCTTTCTTGTTGGACTCCTTACCCTTCAGACAAATTCCACATAGAGCATTTGGAATGACCTTTGGCTGGAAGGGTAGAAGAGGGCTATAAATTCATGCCAGAAGAGCTTACTATGGGTTCAAAAGGAATTCTGTTACTTCATTACTTTATGTCTACTTTGGTAACTTTCTAATAAGGACCTTTTTGAAAGATGTTAACTGGACTTGCGTTTGCTTACAACATAAAAGTGACTACTGATGAAAGCCTTAAATTTCACAGTAAAACTTATTAACAGCATGATCTTGTAAAATTAAATGTAGATTTCTGTATTTCCTCCATGAGTAGTTAAGATCTGTATAATGAACCATAAGGACAAATGAAATACACTGTCAAATATCACTTTTGGAAGAGAAAATCAAGTGACCATTACAGAGGGGTAAGCCTAAATTTTAAGCAGCTTAGATTATCTTTGTTTAAAAACTGGCATTTTCCAAAGCTGTAAAACTGGATTATAAAAGCTTAAGTTTAAAAAATGTCAACATTTTTAATTGAAAAATGTCTTCTTCCTTATACATTATGATGTGCATAAATGTTTGTAGAAAATGAGTTGTGTGATGATTGCCTGTCATGTCTAACAAAATAGAACCTACACTATAGTATTAAGATTCACTATGAGATAAAACACTAAAAACTTCAGAAAAGCAAAAAGGTATACTCTAGTAAGAAACACCCTTATGTTTTGAGCACATTAATCATCATTCAGATTAAAAAAACATATACAATATTTGGACTTTAAACAATTTGGGAATACAAGGACAAAAGAAACAACTCCCTGTGCAGGGAGAATCAGTCCTGACTTTAAAAAGAGGGCTCACTCATGTAAAACAGGCATTAAAAAACTGGTAGGAAAGGAAGAACAAGTGGAGTTAAGAATGAAAAGGAAGGCAAGGGAATACAGTGATGAACTGGGAAAGGAGTTATTTTAAGTAGAACTGTTACATTTCTGCTTTATTCAGCATATACAATTGCATCTTGTGTATTTCCTAAATTACTGCACCAGAGAGGAATCTCAGTAATACTTTGTGTAGTAAAGTTGGCTAGCTTTGAAATGTCTCACTGCCACCTTCACAACCAGTTAGGTGTAAAAAATTTATTCTTTTAAGTTTTTATTTTAAATTATTTTTCTTTGCAAAAGATGACAGAGGCATTTAAAAAGAATTTTTGGCTTATTTATTTAAAAAAAGTCAACCTTATACATAAATATGATAAAAACAGTAACTAAACAATCACAAATGTCTCTACAAAATAATAAATATCATGGAAGTTAAACATACATATAAAATGTCACGATTAACTATTCTACACCTCCTATATGTATTTTTATACCCTGTTCCCCCCAACAAAAGGATAGAGGTCACATGCTCAAACCTTAAGTCCTGCAGTGCAGTTTCCCTCGAGTGTTACTGCTACATTCTAAGGGCATGGCTCCACTTCAATGAAAAGCTAGGAAGTGAACTTCCACTATCCAGACTGATTTATGATCAAATCTATAACTGCTATAATAGCAGGGACCTACCTCTCAATCCACCAAAACTAAGAAATCTGTTGGTTATGGTACCTGGGCTAAATGTAAAAGATACATGTATTTAATACTTGTAGTTTAACTTAGATACTGGCATAGTAAGTAATAGCTTTCATTCAAGGAGGTAACCACATAATATTAAATTCTATAATGAGAGCTCCTCATAGGAGGTCCTTTACAAAACAAAAGTCAGAAGAAATAAAACAAGTCTAGTCATTCACATTCTAAAGCAATTCAGGTTCAGTGATCATTAAAATATACATAAACGCCTACAATAAGAAGACATTAAGAACATTCTAGGTTTCTAAGCTCAAATTAATGTTTGGTTAAACCACTAAAATTTTTTCTTACCCAATAGTCTTCATCTTGATGAAAAGAGGGAGAGAGGGAAGAAAAGGAGGAGAGACAGCTTTGTGGCACTTTCTACTATGACTCTGCACCTCAGCACTCAGAAGCCCTCTGTGTGTGTTAGCACCCAAGCTATCTAAGCAGCCAAGGGGCCAGCATCCAGGACCTCAAGGATCTAGGTGGGGAGTTGTATGTCCCCATCGAATGCAGAGTTGAGGGAGGAGGCAGGGAAACAACATGCAGAACTCCCCTGAAGATGAGTAAAACAACCCTACCTGTGTCTGATTGACACACTGTCCCACTTCAGTTAACTACAACACCAAAGCCTTGCTGAAGACAAAACTAAAATACTCATCTCAATGGTTTTCAGCATTTCAAATGAAAGATAAGTGAGACCTTCATGACACCATTAATACAGCATAGATTTTAATTACACATTTTAGGCCTGAATGCTAGCAATTATGCTTTAATTTCAGGTTAATGTAACCTAAACAATACTGTCCTACAAATTTAGGCCAAGCAGTAGTGAATCCTATTAAGCAAAACATCAGATACATTACCATTTATTCTAACAGTCCTGTTTTTAAAATGTGTGTGGTGTGGATGTGTGGGTGTGTGGGTGTGTGTGGGTGTGGGTGTGTGCATGCTTCAGCTTGAAGTACCCTAAAATTCAGGCACGTCCTGGCTTATTAATACTTTTCATATGTTAATTTTTAATAAATACTTTCACATTAATATGTAATATTTAGATACTGATACCATCTTTGAACCATTTGAAACATTTTTAGTACCTAGGTTATAAAAATGTTCACAGAAGATTACAGAATGTTTATTTTGCATATCAGACTCCCTGGAGTATTAATAATTTAGGTTAAGCTATATGATTTATTATATAGTGAATCAATAATAATATGGCTAGT